TAATATTTTAAAAAAAGTTTTATAATAAAGTTTATAAAATATGTTTTTAAGAATATATTTTATAAGCAAAGTATACTTCATATCATTAATAAATTATTGTTTTATTTAAAAAATACTAAATACAATTTAATTTTTCAGACAAATTTGCCTGAAATATGGTTTAAGGGATATACAATATATCAAATCTAATCCTAAATATATTACATTTTATTTTGCTAATCAAGATGATCATTATAAACACTATTTTTAATACTACAGTAAGTATATGATATAGTATACTATTTTTAATACTACAATAGAAGTAGAATTTGATTCTTAATTAGGAAGGTTCAATTATAGTAAGACTATAATAAATAATACAAGTCAAGAGCAAAAAGAATCAATTTGCTCTTGGTTTGTTTAACATTAGGCTACTTAAATTTAAATAGATTGTTAATAACAATAGTCAATATTTAAGATTCAGTGAAGAAGATCTAAGAATGACTTATATTACAATACATTTAAATTAGTCTTTTAAGTAAATTATATAATCAGCTTATTAGTATATAGCACTTAATTGTTACATATTATAACTTACATAAACATTGGCATCTGTCATTATTTTTATAAGATTATATTAATTATGTAACAATTAAGCACCATGCACTAATGCATGCATGATGCCTATCTTTAGATTGAATAGTCAAAAAAAAATTAAAATAAAAAAAAATTTAAAAATAAAACACCAACACTGTTAACTGAGCAGTCTAGCCATTACAGTAGACTTTTAATTAACTAAGCAACTTACATATATGTCAAACTAAATTCTTCTAAGTAAAAAACATTTCAAATTTGCAATTTAGGCAACAATACTGACAATATAGATAAATCTATTTACATTGCATTTTTCTTATTAGGATATTTAGGAGCATAATAGCCTGATTTATAATGTGATCTTAATCTACATCTAGTTTCACTATTATTGTTAGTAGTATCATAAGATGCTTGTTGTTTTTTATTACTACTAACTTTATTTGTTTCTTCATTAAAAGCTTTTAACCATTTATTTGGATGTCTACCTTTATCCTTGTGTACTATTGAATCTTTAATATCATTATAAGTCTGACTTTCTTCAACAGATACTAGTTGAGTTTAAACATTTTGAATTTCTTCTTTTTTAGCAATGTAGTCTAAGATAAGTTCATTTAAAGCATTTTGATCATCATCTTCTATTGAGTAGCTTAATGCTTCCTTAAAATGACCCATTAAATGACCATAATCTATTTTTTTTTGTAGATGGTTTCAGACCTAAACTTCTTGAACATTATAATAATGTCTATGAATAAGTTTTTGTATATTATTATCACCTTGATGTTGCAGAAATAATATGCTGATAAATGGCTCATCATATATTAAATCAACATATCTTCAAGCATCATTATGTAACTATTTTGTTAAAATTAATATAATGTGAAATAATGCATTTGCATTCTCTACCATTAACTTGAAATAGTGGCAGCAAATAACTCTGTATGAAACTAACAATAGACATATATACAAATGTGTACCATTATTAAACATAACAATATACTGGTACAAATTTAATGCCATATATGAAATAACCTTCCAGACTTCTTTAATTGTCTTTTTTGAGACTGATTTTAAAAGTTCTTTTAAACATGTTTGCCAATAATCATAAAAATCTTCAATGTTTTCTATTATTTTTTCATTATGACTCTGATCCTAGTATAGAAATCCTTACATTATAATGTACAAAAAAAAAACAAAAAAAAAACTTGTCTTCTAACTATTAATTAGTTCATTTTCATCTGAATTTAATTGATCTTCAAGAGCATGATCAATATTCAACTTTTCACATTTGTATAATATCGATTTACACATTTGTCTGTTAATTTTTTTAGCAATTCATAATGTAAAATACTTTCGAATTACATTATTAACATTATTAAAAAGCTGCTTAATAATAAATGATTAATGATTACTTATTGATTTGTGCTTCCATTTTATAAAACTTTTATTTAATTCTTTCTTTTGTATATGAAGCTCTAAAGCTTCAATTACATCTGACATACTAGAGCTAGAAGCAACTGCTTTATGAATAATAGCATTAATTGATTCAATACATAAGGTAGATTGCATGCCTGCTGTAAATATTTTACTTATAAATGATTTAGCTTATGATTGCTATGTTGAATAAATAGAATGACTCAAATATTTGTTGGCACTTGGATACTTTTCTAATAAAGATTGAAATCAATACTCAAAAACTTCAATACTTAAAGAATTTTATGCTTTCCAAAAATCACAAATAAATTCTTTAAAATTTTCACTTCCAAGTTTTGCCTTAAGCCATTTAGGCAAATTTTAAAACATGTGTTAGATATAGTGAACATGATAAGAATTCATATATTTTACTTGACATGCCACATCCATTGCAAAATCCATGTCAGTTATTATAACCCATAGCTTAGAACTAGTTGCATCCAAGGTATGTTGTAAGACCCATTCATAGCTTTTCTGAGTTTCATCACTTAAAAATGCCTGTGCTGCCAATTATGATTTACTATCATTATCAATAAAAATAAATAAGAATAGAAAAAAATTGTATTTATTGGTTCTTAAAGTATTGTTATGTAAAATGACATCTGAATATCAAGACCATAATATAATTTGGTTTGCTGTTATCTAAAAAATACCACTTAGCCAATTACTATCTGTATTTATTAATAGTTAAATAAACATTGTAGGATCTTCTTTTTGCTATTCAAGTAGAAATTTTAGTAAGTATGATGCATCAGATTCAACAACATTTTTTTCATGCTTAATTTTTTAGATTGTATTTGATAAATCTTGTGTAAGAAAAAGTTGACCAGAAAACAAAGGCTGTAATAAATTTCTTATAGTATAAGTATTACAATGATCATATACAACTGTATGTTCAATTTCATTTATTATAGACTCATCAAATTTTTAAAATACTATGGCAAATCTCAGATTATTAGCACTAATATTATAGTTATGCTCAAGATATATAAGTATTATATGTACAAAATTGCTAGTTTCTGGATTATTTAAGTTAACATGCCATTTATAGTCAGTTTTTTATAATTCTTTGTTATGTTGTTGCTCTATTGGTTTTGTCTTGTTAGGTTTATACTTTCTAGCATTTTCACATATATATGTTTTTTTTTAACAAAATTATTTAACGGAATCAAATAAGATTTGTGATATTTAACTCTATACTAGTTTATTACAAATCCTTTCTGGCAGCTATACTTCTTTAAGTAGTGATCTGCAATTGCCCAAAAATTAAATCGTATTCCAACAGATAATTCTATAGGTTGATTTATATAATGCTTTGTAAGATTAAGACCTTCCAACTCCAACTTAAAAACAGGTGTATTAATTTCGCTATTGCCTTCAAGAGTTATAGAGCCTCAAAACATTTAAAAAGCTAAGTATTAATAATTCACTATATTGTTATACTTTCTGATTAGTATATTAAACTAACCTTGATTAATTTTTTTAGTTTCATTTTCCATATTTTCACCTTCTATATTTTCACCTTCTACAGCTTCACTAACTTTACCTTTTATATCAACAAGCTCAACTTCCATATCACCACCTTCCACAGATTTATTTTTCATAAGTTCGACTTCTACACATTTATTTTCTTTAGACTTATCTTTCAAAAATTTGAAAGCTTCACTTTCTACATGCTTGGTTTTCATGTATATAATTTTTACAGATTCATTTTTCATAGTTTCATTCTTCACAAGTTTGTCTTCTATCAATGTACCAAGTCTGAATTTTTCTTGCAGTATAAATTTACCTTCAAATAGTTTTTTGAAATATGCAAGCAAAAGGTTTGTAAAAATAAGTATACATACTTAAACCCTCTGCAAAAATAAACTATATCATTATTTACTTATATATGAATATAAGTTCTTAATTAACTTTCTGGTTTATATAACATATGGAGATCTTTGTTTATTGTTTATATATGTTCAACATAAGGAGTATTTTAGCAAAAGAAAAAAAAAAAAAGCTTGTCTCCCTTTATATTTGTTTATCTTCTGCATGATTAAACTCCATTGCGATCATTGTAATATGATTACTAATATTTCTAATCTTCGATCTATATCATAATGTGATATACCACATCCTGCTTTAAATAAATTTACTCTTTTTTTTAAATTAAACATCTTATAAAATTTTAACATAATAAATAACTTATTTAAATCTATATATTATTAAATTTTAATAAAAATTAATTAAACAATAAAAAAGTTTTATTAGTAATACATTTTAATTTACTATATAAAAATTTATTATACTATCTAAGTTATATAAAAAATAATCTATGTTTATCTTATCCTTAATTCTATAAAAACAAAACTTGAAGTTGTTTTTTAGTTACTAATTATAAGCTTTTCTAATTACAATATATATTTATATTTAAATAATATTTTTATAATACAAATTTTTTAAAAAAATCTTTTTAATAATTCAAAAATACAAAAAAAATTAATAATTAGAATGAGAATAGTAATCCTAATATAGTAGTTGGGTAGTTATTCTTAAAATGACAGATCTAAGATTCAAATTCCATCTATGATAAAATTTGGAAATTAACCTATGTTACAGCAAATTGTCTCTTGATTATCAGTTGAATTTGTATATCTGTAACCTTAAGTTATACTATCTCGAATAGAGAGCTCAGAGCATCTATGCCAATTGTACTATTACACATACATAGAGAAATGTTAATAACTAGTATTGCATAAGACTTCAGTGCAAACCCACAATAAAACCACCAGGCACAGTAAACTAAAGAACTGAAGAGTTAAAAACTTACTTAAAAATTCTCGAATAAAAAGGTAGCATGAACTTTTGACAATGCAGTCAGCCTGATAAAAGCTTATAAAACATCTTCAAAGAAATAGGCAGATAAACTGGATATCAAAATGTGTAGAAGAGCACATGACCAACCAGGCTGCCAGAATCATTAAAGAAAAAGAATACATAAGTATACTATACTAAGCTATCTGAATTGAAAATCAGGTGAGTTCTGTCAGTTCTGAGTAGCGGTTAGTAAGAAATAATGAAGAAAATGTTATAATGATAGGTACTAGAGTTCTAGTGAACTTTACAAGAGTAGAAATAATGTAACATAGTAGTTAAACAGGTAATTCCTATAACTGCAAGTGTTAGATAACTATAGCATATTGTATAAAATTAGATTAGCTGTATGTAAGACATGGAAGGTTCTAGTAAGTTTCTTGTCAAAGATAAACTAGTCCTAAGGGTTTCAAAAGCATTAGGTACTTTGAATGAGTGTAGTTCAAAAGATGTCCCCATGATTACAAGTCAGATTATATATGCAGAAGGTTTAAATAAGCAAGATCCATAGTTGGCTTACAGATATGACACCTAGTGTAGAACCTGTATAGTAATATATAGATGAACTATTAAATTAGACACCAAAAGTGCATATATAACTAGTCATAACCTTCTATATATAGAAGTTTCTGAAGGCATTTGTGTTCAAATACTTGAATAAAAACATTGATCTCTAAAGACAGAAATTTTAACATTAAAAAAAAAAATTTAATAATTAAAACATTTTACATATTCTTAATTTTTTAATCAAATATAAAAAACTAGAATTTACAATATACAAAGCAAATACACATTCAAAAAAATTTTTTTATAATATTACTAACAAGCTAGCAAAATATAAAACTAATAAAACTTTAAAAAGTTTATATAAAAAGAAGATTTATATAGAATTTTCTTAATTTGAATATTAAAAATTTCTTTTTATATAAAATAAAATAGAAAATAAAAGTATTTTGAATTTAGTTAAATTAACAAACTTATCTAACTCAAATTCTTTTGAAATCTTCTATCAATTGATTTACAATAATTTTCAAATATAATTAACTTTCTAAATTTAAAATTTAAATTATATTCATTCTGAAACAAAATTTTATTAAACAATCTACTAATAATAGAAAATTTAATTTTATATTATTCTAGTCTTTATTTAGCATCAAACTGTTTTTACTTTATTCAATATAAAAATCTAATTTATTTATTTATTTGTTACTTATATATATTCAATTCACAAAAATATTTTATCAATTTATATTATAAAATAATTATACTTAATATATCAAAAATTTTAATATATATATTTAATTCTAAAAATACTTATTATACAATTTAATATTATTCAACTTTTTTTAATTTAAATAAATTTTATAATTTATTGCATATGCAATATATTGCATTTTTTTTGTTATTTAAAAATTTTAAGTACTAATAAAAAATTTTTTCATAAAATTTTGATATATCTTATGTCTTTGCCTTATTTTAAACTTTAACACTAACTTTAATATTAATAAAATTTTATTTTTTGCTTTGATAAAAATTTTTTGTTACAAGTACACCAAGTTAGAGCCTACTTGATTTTAGAAACTCAAAGCATTTATGCAAAGTGTAATATTATATATATATAGAGGAATATAAAAACTAATATTATATAAGGCTTTAGTGCAAACTCATAATAAAACTATTAGGTATAGAAAACTAAGAAACTGTGAAGACAGAAGCCTATTTAGAAATCCCAAGTAAAGAGGTAGCACAAACTTTTGATAGTGCTGTTGAACTAATAAAAACCCATAAAACACTTTTATAGGAATTGTCAGATAAACCAAATGACAAGATATATAAAAAAGTATATAATCAACCAGACTGCCAGAATCATCAAAAGAAAAGAATATATAAATATATTATACCAGGTTATCTGAATTATAAGTCTGAAAAGTCTATTAGTTCTAAGTTGCAGCTAGTAAGAGATAATAAAGAAAATATCAGAAAAATGAATACTAAAATTTGAATGAACTTTACAAAAGTAATAGCAGTTTAATGAATATTTCTGATCACAAGTATTAGTCTAAGCCATAATAGAAAATCTAAGTTAGCAGTAGATAAAAAATATATAGCTTATTCTGATAGGTTTATCTTAAGGATAAAATTGTTTTAAGATTAAGATAAGAATTTAGATACAAGTAATTTAGTAAAATTAGGATAAGGGTTTCAGATTAGAGAGTTTAAATAGAACATCTAAGCAGAGGTATTAAATATAACAATTAGTAAGAAACCTTTGAGTAAACTTTTTAATAGATAATATAGAAAAGTTATACATATAACTAGTTGTATACTCATTATGATGCTTGAAAAAAGTATTAAAAAAGTTAAAAGACCAAAAAGAGTTATTTTAAAAATCAAAAAAATTTTTTGTTATACAAAATTAATAATTTTTATAGTAAAATAGAAGTGCAATATATTGTATTATGCAATAAATTATAAAATTCAATTCAAATAATTTTATTCTTAATTCATGACATAATCTTAATTTATTTTATAATTCTATCAAATTAATTCTTAAAAAATTAACTAATAGCTTTTTATTTTAATTTTTAACACTTTACTAATATAATTTGATAACACAATTTGGTATAATCAAAATTAAAAATAACATAAATAAAAACTCTTTAAAATATCTTTTTTAAAAATAAAAGAAATTTAACTTATATATCTACTTATATATTATTGCTATTTCAAATTAATACTAATAAAAATACTTATTTTTTAATTATATAATATTTAAATACTTCTATTTTTTTTTTTGCTTTTGCTAAGGCCATAATTATCAGTAGTTATTGCTTTTATTGTATTTTAATTATTGTTATATAACTTGTATAAAGTAAGTCTACAACTAGCCACATATATAACTTTTAGTTGTCTATTTTAAGTAGTTCATTTGCATAACAGATTTTATACTAGTTGTCATATCTGCAATCTACTTGGAGATTACTTATTTAAATACTCTAATTTCTATACTTACATTGACAAATAGTGCACAAGTTCCTGTATACCAAAGTGCTGTCTAATCTATCTTGACCTTTCTGTTTATATGTCCATCAAGCCATTATATATTTCAGAATACATCACCTGACTGTAGAGCTTCAGAGGGCCTTTCTGCTAACTAACCACTTATATTTAGTTTTTTATTAATAGAGCTTACTCTTGCAAAGTTCACCTAGACCTTAGCATCAACTTTACAATATATCTCTAGTACTTATCTCTTAAACTATTTAAAATTCAGAAGAAATTTGTTCTGAATTTTACTATAAAAATACTTTTGATCTATTTTTTTTAAAAAATCAATATATTTAAGTAAAATTTTTTTTGATAATATTTGAAAACAAGGATTATATTTTTATAAAATTTATATTTAAATTATAAGATAAAAAATTTAACTTACTTATAAGCCAAAAATATACAAATTTTAAAAATATTTTAACTAAAAAAATAATTTATATTTTTTTGATAAACTCTTTAAATATTAATTTTAAATCTATAATTTTTTAATAAAAATTCTTGTTTAAATAAAGAATGATAATATTCATTATTATGACTTCTGTGATTTACTTGTATAAATTAAAACTTGTATTATAAATAAAAAAATTTTTTATAAATAGAAATATATAAAATTCGAAAAATTTAAAGAAAAATTTTATAATAAAAAATTCAAAATAAAATGTTTAAACTTTTATTATCTATAAATTTCTTAAAAGATTTAAAAAATATTTTTAATAAACTTATTAAAATATATCTTAAAATATATTTTTTACTTAGAAAGTATATGTCTAAAATTAAATTTTCAGATTTTATTTAAAAAATAAGGTTTTTAAAAAAATTTCAGAGCAAATTTGCAGAAGAAACAGTTTAAAAGATAGTATACTTTTACTTCTGACCTTAGACTCCTAATCCAAATAGCCTAAAAGAACTATGACCTGTCTTTGGTATCTTAGAGTTTGCTTCTAAAGTTTTTTTCCTTTAGTTCAAGACTTTTAGTAATTTAATTGATAGTATTCCTCATATAAGATTCTTGTTTACCTAATTTCTTTTATATTGGTATCTATTTCCTAAATCTAGCCTTTATAATAGTAATGTTAAAGATCTGTACTACCTTTTTACTTAGGTCTTTCAAAGTAGGCTCTAGCTTTTCAGTTTACAGATTTACATAACCATAAGAACTTATCTTGGATTTGCATTACCCAATGCCAGTTTGTATTCTTCTGTATAGCTTCAACATTGCACAGATGCCCTATAATCTATCAGTTATGCTGATGTGATTATATTACAAATATCTTATCTCAACTAATCAACAGAATGCTGTTACTATAATATCAGCTATATATTATATAAATGATTATCCAAATTTTTACTATTAGTAGGTTTTGAACTCATTACCTTCACTTGAGGAGTTGATAATTTAATCACTTCACTAAGTTATCACACTTTTTTAACTACTTTTATTAACTATTAATATTAAGATTTTTTTAATTCTTTTGTAGCTAATAATAACTTAATTTAAATTAACTTCTTGTTAGAAAATGTAGATATAATATTATGCTAAAAAACAATATAACTAGAAATATATATTAATTTTAAATTTAGTCAGAAATTTTACTAAATTAGAAAATTATATTTTAAAATGATCTTTGTAACATTCTATGAATTTGATTAACTTATAACATTTTTTTATTATCATATAATTTTTTAATATTTTATTTATTTATTTAATATTAAATTATATATGAATAGCTAATATAAGATGTTTACTTTAAATAATCATATTTTATTCCTTACAATAAACCATTATAAAAAAGTAAATAAAAACCAACTTTTTTCAGTTAATAAATAAAAAAGTTTAAATTTTGGTGTAGTTAATTTAATTAGTCAATTACATGTAATTTTTATATAACCAAATAAAATATGATTTAAGAAAAAGAACCAAATTGATAATTTTTTTAAATTTTGTTTTTTAAACAACTAAACATAAAAACATTTTTTATTTAAGAAACAAATTCTATTATCTTAATAAAATTTTGCAATACAACTTTTTAAATTTTATATTTTCTTAGAATACATATCATTTTATTAACAATTACTTTTCCAAACACCTTATTATACAGAGTGATAGTTAATATTTAATGATTGTTTGATGATTAATAATTATTGTTCAATATTACTCATTACACTGTGTAATAGAGTGTTCAGTAAAGTAATTGTCAATGAAATAATACATATTCATTTTCTTATAATTTATTATAGAATTTACAATTAGATCTTTCTAAATGCACATTGTTAGAACTGACTTTAGAGCATATATTTAGAAAAAGTTGCAATTAGAGAACTAATAAAATTACAATGTAACTATTATTACAACTTAATAATCTAGTATTATAGAATGAATTTTATTATTATATTTTAGTACAGTTTTATGAATATATATTTTATTATTAATTATTAGCATTATTATTATTATTATTATTATTATTATTATTATTATTATTATTTAGTTATATTAGATAGAACAAATTGATTACAGCATTTGACACATGATGCTTGATGCTTAATGCTTGATACTTAATGCTTGATGCTTGACACTTGATGCTTGATGTTTAATACTTAACACTTAATGTTTAACACCTGACATCTGATGCTTTGCTCTAATAATTATTAAGCCTTGATGCTTAGCTTTAATGAATGTCAACAGATATATAAACTCTAAGAATTTCTCTAAGTTAAGCAAGTCACAGACACCCCTCTCCCTCTACCTCTAGTTAGTAACTTCTGTAAAGTATAAAAGAATTTCTTAGGAACAGAAACCTAATGGATAGCCTTATACCTTAATAAAGTTATTATTTTTATCTGTAAACTATATTAATATTTCTTCTCTAGAGTAATTTCTACAGGCAAGGTCTATTGCTCCCAAGTTAATAAAGTTATAAACTGTTGTATTGTCTTAACCAAACTGCCCAAAGAAGGATATAGTTGCTAAATAGTTAAAGCTACTATACTTTCCTCTTGAACACTGCTATAAACCTGTAAAGGATCCCTGTAGCTATGTCATTGTTATAGTAAGAAGTTAAAGAAGGCCTCTCTATTGTAACATTTGGTGCCTTCTAACAAAAAGCAAAAATAAAAGCTAGTTTGATTCCTAGCTGCTGAATAATTTTTACTGAACATATTCATCTTAGAAGATAGCTACTGAAACATAACCTGTCTTGGAAGATAGCTGTCATATTAATTTTTACCAAATATAACTGTTTCAGAAAATAGCTGCTGTATTGTTTTAGAGTTAGAACACTTTTTTTTGATTACTCTCTTAGACAAGAGTGAACTTTTCTTTTATAGTTCACACTGCTGCTGAACTCTATTACAAAAATATACAATGTTACCAAAATATCTATTTAACTGGAAC